TAAGAATATGAGCACTTACGATTAGGGATGTGAGTCAAGCCGACTCGTGAGCCGACTCGTGAACTGAGCTCAATGAGCTAACAAGTCAAACTCAAGCTAGCCCCGACTCAACTCGCTAGTCGACTTGTTTAAAAAAAATATTAATATAAAATATACTCAGAATATATTAAATTTGAGGACTTTACCTTTGAAGTGTTAAAAATGTTTAAAATAATAATATTTTATATTTTATAATAAGTGATTTCTTATTATTTCTCTCATAATTGCTCATTTTACATTTCTATTTATCATCTTATGATAACAATACCTTAAATTAATATTAATTTGTCTCTTTTATAATAAACAAGCCGACTCAAACTCATAGATTTAAGCTCGAACTCGAGCGCAAAGTCGATAAGATTAATCAAGCTCGAGCCGTCCTCTAGTTCGCACACTTCGCCTCCTATTCTCCTCTAGTTCGCACACTTCTCTTATTCATATTTTAATATATTCATATTTTAACTGATTAATTACACCTAAAAATTTATTTAAAACAATTGAGAGCAAACCAAAGTCAGTGAATGCTCACACTCATAAACTATAGTAAAACAAGAAAAAATAAAATAATATGCATGCGAATTAAGTTTTTCATAAATTAATACAAAATATTTGATATTTTAAGAATATGATCACTTACGATTAGGGATGTGAGTCAAGCCGACTCGTGAGCCGACTCGTGAACTGAGCTCAATGAGCTAACAAGTCAAACTCAAGCTAGCCCCGACTCAACTCGCTAGTCGGACTCGACTCGCTAGTCGACTTGTTTAAAAAAAATATTAATATAAAATATACTCAGAATATATTAAATTTGAGGACTTTACCTTTGAAGTGTTAAAAATGTTTAAAATAATAATATTTTATATTTTATAATAAGTGATTTCTTATTATTTCTCTCTTAATTGCTCATTTTACATTTCTATTTATCATCTTATGATAACAATACCTTAAATTAATATTAATTTGTCTCTTTTATAATAAACAAGCCGACTCAAACTCATAGATTTAAGCTCGAACTCGAGCGCAAAGTTGATAAGATTAATCAAGCTCTAGCCGAGGGCGGCTCGAGCTCAACTCGACTCATTTACACCCCTACTTACAATATTTCATGTTATTCAATGAGTTTTACTATATCAATAGCATTTTATATTTGTACAACTGTCACAGAATCACATATAAAAATTATATCAATTAAAGTACTTCAATATTAATATTTTTTTTATTTACTTGCACGGGTACCTTAGCATTATTCAACTAGTACAATAAAATGGTGATTCCATCATAATCAAACATACACATACAAGCATTTTATAAAAGCTATTATTCAATAAAAAATATTTCATTTTAATTTGCATACGCATCATTCTTACAATATAAACAAAAATTTAATAGAATTTAAAATCCTCGGTTTGCAACAATTTTAAAATAATTATTGATAGTACCAATAAATACACTGGGTCCAGAATAAAAAGAATATTACCAAAGTATAAGAAACTGAGTACTCACCTCAATGACGATTTATTTATTCTTAGATTCACCTTGATCTTGTGATAGTACCAATAAATACACTGGGTCCAGAATAAACAGAATATTACCATAGTATAAGAAACTGAGTACTCACCTCAATGATGATTTATTTATTCTTAGATTCACCTTGATCTTAACTTTTCTAAAATTGATGTATATAATAAACATGGTATTTCTATTACTAAAATTTAATTTATTCATATTATTTTAATTAATTATTAACTTTACATTAATTAAGTTTTAATTTCCATCGTTTTACTTTATGAAATCCTAATTAACTTTATTTTGCTATTAAAAATCATTAATTAAATTATAATAAACCCAAACTTTCCTTACCGAAGTTTGTTTGGGTAAATCTTTCTCCTCTAACTTGAACACTTCATCTCCTTCTATTCCCCTCAAATCTGAAATTCTAAACCAATAATCCTAATTTAATAAAATTGTATAATAACATTATAATGTATATTTATGTGTGTGTGTCATATAATTTTCTTATAAAATTAGTTAATTAAAATTATCAAATTTTACCTTTATATTTCGATCGAACCCTAATCCACTTGAACCATCTTCCTCCCCTCCCTTGCACGCGATGTTGTTGCTTCTTCGCCGCACACAAAGAACGCATGACCCACACACTATGCTTAGGTTGAGAGGGTAGGCTTCACACCTCGATAACTTCGCTCATTTGGCTTCTCCCTCACGCTTCCTCTTCTGTTGAACGATACCAACGTCAGCTCCTCCTTTGATTGACACCGAAGTCGTTGTCTCCTCTCTGCTCGACAGAGACGTCGTCGCCCGTCGACGTTGTTGCCTCTGACTAAGAGGAAGCCCTAACTTGCGCCTGTCAAACATCCTGCTTTCGTCTCGCATCGATCGATTCCCTAGGTAAGTCGTCCTCACGATCTCATATGTCTCCTCACTCGACAAATTATAGAGCAAATTCATCCCTTGTATTCCTGACCCCTCGTTTCAACTCCCACTCTTCAATTTTTGGACTCCTCATTTCCTCTCCCCCTCTTCGGTTCCCTTGGGTATTTGAAACGGGGCGCCACAAAAGCATGCTTTTGACATCGCTATTTATAGCTTTGCCACATGTATATCTATAATCACTGCACAAGATGAGGAAGAATCCTTTTACCCACAATTATCGGCTAAGCATCCCCCATTGTTTTCTCATTCATTTATTTTGGCAAAGATCTCATCAATTAAAATAGTGTCATTCTTAAATCAATAATATAATTGTTCAAAGCGTTGAACAAAGAGAAAAGGGTATTTTCTAGCATAAAGCACAAACGAATTGTGTATTAATTCACTAAAGCATGCTTCTAATAACTACTAGGCCTTATTGACTATTAAATTAAGAAATTATTAAAATTTATAAATGTATTAAAGAATCCTTATAGCACCATAAATTTCTAAGATCTATGAGCATTAAATCGAACATCTGGAACAAATCTAATAATGTACATATATTAAGCAACCAAAATTTTAACTATGACATAAAGAAAGCAAAAATAAACATTGTTGAAACAATTGCTAGCTAGAAACAAAAGAATGATCGCTACAAAGAATGCTTTTTAATCATCACACCACTTATTTTTCCAAAAAAATACAATAAATTATATAAAAAAAAAGTTGAAGCTTTAGCCTTGAGGTGAAAATTGAAGGAAATCATAATAATAGAAGGTATAAACGAAGAAAGGTGCGGAGAACTTTCATGAAATTATACCTCAACTATAGAACTTCGATCCAATCCATTCTCACAAGTTATTATCGAAAGAACACGGAAAACACCAATAAGATCAAAATAAGCTCAAAAGATAAATTAAAAAATCTTAAAGAATTGAAAACTCAAAGATCCAACATTTGCAAATTATAATGTTAGTCAATACCAAATTATATGTCACTAATAAGACAAGCGTGTTCATAGGATATACATTTTTTATCTTAATTAGCACTTGTGGTTCTCAACCATGCATTTTTTAAGATCAATAAAACTATAAGAAAATTTTTTGTATGCTCTTTATATTTATTTCATTGATGATCAAAGCATGAAAAATATATTTAGTAGATATTTATGGCATAAAACTAATTCAAATTTCTGTATCAAAGTATCTTTTAAAGTCTATATTTCTTCACTCTTCTCCCATAAATTTATTCTATGATTCATAAATTTGATTTCCATGTAATTATCTTACTTAAATAATAATATTATCATTAAATAGTGGTACTCTCCAATCATTTAATATTATCTTAGTTTTCAAAGTTTTATTAGAAAGATTTACAAACCAAACTACAATAATATCAACCCCCAACGTTCCAAATCAAAATAAACAACTCATATAGTGTTCATCTTAATGCATCTTCCTCGCAGTTCATTCTACCTAAATAAGATCAATCCACAATATGCATTATTATTCAGCTCAAGTTGCTTTTACTATGTTTTCTTTTTAATTTTTCAAACACTTTCATCTCTCTTTGATGCATTAAGCTTAAACTAAGTCTTATTATCTTTATTTTTAATGAATCTAGGTGACCAAGGTATTTAAATATCTTATCTTTTGCCTCAATTATTTTTACAGATTTATGTTTTTTACTTTCTTAGTACCTAGCCTATTGTATAAATCATCAAAACTGAATTTTTAACATTTTTAACTATCCTTTGCGTAAGACAATCTTCCTCATAATCATTATAAAGAAATATTTTTTTGCCATGCTTTTAAAGCGCCTTATTTTTCTTAATAACTCTTTAGATATCCTTATATATTATTTATTTCTAGACTCACGTAAAGCTTCTATACAAATCTTCTCAATGAAACTAGCAATTACAACCTAAATTAACTGTCTTAACAAAAAAATTTTAATTTAGTACCATCAATAATCTGTCTTAACCGAGTAACAACTTCTGGACTTTCAAGTTTTGTCATCAACAATGATTTCATTTGATCGCTTTTTTTACACTCCTAATATATACACCACAACTGCTATTATGTTATGCCATCAACTATTCTCCTAAAATCACTTAAAATATTCATAAAATATTTATTTTTTTCAAAATAAAAGAAATTAGTGTGTATTTCAGTGGCTCCAACTTTAAAAACAAGTTGAAGCTCTCATTTTATATAGTAGGTGCTCTCTACTGTAAGATAATATGCAAATGACTAATTAATCATAGATTCTCCCATAAAAAATTTTACTTCATCAATTTCTATTCATCCGATGAATAAACTATGAATAAAGTAACACAGATAATCATTGCCTCATCTTATTGATAACTTAGCTTTCATCATTATCTTTCCTTCAAAATGCAAATAGTAAAAGCCTAGTTATAATAATAATGTATACTGTAAAAATCAAGCAGGCGATGCTGCAAGGAAAAAAATATAAATCATAATGCTTAGAAAGAGAATAAGACAGCTAAGTTTTCATTTGCTCACTTTATCCGCAGTCTTTTGGGATTCTTCAAAAGCTTTAATTAGGTCCTGCATTCTTTTCTCGTTGATATTTAAACTTGGCGGATTAACCGAATGAGAAGAATCAGCTGGAGTAGATCTTGTAGCAGGAGGTTGTGCTTTGGAGTGCCTACGGAGTATGACATCATTTATATGTGTTTGAAGAGCAACACAAATTTCCTCCCCCTGCAATGGTTTATGTAAGGCTTATCTCAAACAACTGACTAATAAGATTATTAATTTTAAAGGAATAATGCTAAACTATATAAAATAAAAAATATAACCCCTGACCTGCTTAGTTTCAAACTGAAAAATTTGAAGCACGCCAGCAACTCTCATCTTAAAGAAAATTGCAGTGTTGCTGCTACCAAATTGCATAATATCCCTCAACTCTGCTGAGTGTAAGTATTCTTTGGGAACAGGACGAAAAAAATGAATCTATGATACAAAATGGGGAAAAAAAAGAAATTCGTGTTAGAAGCATTCTATGCATTATATCAAATATGTCAGAAGAATTAATGAACTACAACTAACCCCTCGCTTATTTATGCCTAAATTAATCCTGCCAGGTAGAAGGCCAATTGGGTCATCTATCTTGCGAACATTGAAAAAAACTGAGTTTCCATAGGGAAGAGCATGAAGGATCCTAAGGAACTGTTGTCTTGCATCAGCTTTAGACAAGTGCTCCTGCATGGACAAGGAAAATTTTAATGGTCATTGTTTTAATAATTCTAATTCATCTCTATTCCTCCCTAACTTTTAACTTCCTATTTATTGCAGTAAAAGCGCAACCAATTATAACACTATCCTCTACAAAAGCATATCCAAAGGCGACTAACTTTAAATATCATTTTTAAACATCTCCATAATCAATACAAAAAATATACATAACTAATATAAATCTTTGATTTAATCATTCTATACTTAAAAACACTTGGATCACTTTAAAACACTTTTAATACTAATATGTATTATATCATATACGTCTCTGATAACTTCCACAAACTATTGATACAAACCTTTCTAAAATTAAAGTCGAACGGAAATGTGTTGAATTTATATTTGAGGAAGGAAACTGTGCATAATAAGTAATGCTCAAACAAAGTATATATTTTATTAAATATATTAGCTGGAAAATAAAATAAAATAAGAACAACGTGGTAATCAATTAATTAAATGAGGTTAACGGAAATAAAAATATAAAGAAATTAAATGTAAAAATAGAATATGTTAAATTCATATTCCTTTTATACTACCATTAGATTAAATGTAATGTTTTGTTTTTACCATTAAATTATAACGAGAAAGTATATCAAGCTCCCATTCTCTCTTTGCCCTTGTAACTGCAACTTGTCTCGGTAAGAATCTTTCGAGCAGAGAGGTCCACTCGCTGTAAAGATAGCCAATATTTAGAAAGAAGAGACTCTATCGACAAATAATATACAAATAAGTGGGAGGACTCACTAACTACTTGGGAATTGAAAAAATTGGGTACTCACACACACGAATCGGGATTGTCAACAAATCCAATCTCAGCTAATATTTGAAGAGCAGATAGTTGAGTAGCATCATCCCTACCAACCGGATAATGTCCCAAAACATAGTCATGTTGTAACTGCCAAAAGAAAAAAAATAAAGATATACTTCATATAGAAGAACTGAAAAATGAACTCCCAATTATTGATGGGTACATATGAATTTCGGAGTGTCCAAGCACACATACCTGAACATATGACAACTGAACACACACTGGATCTTCAACAGCATCTTCAGACTCTCGAAATAATCTTTTCTTAAATGTTAGTTTGCAGTGCAAAATTTCTCCTTTACTGCGGTCTTTGGCTACCTTAAATTCAGTCAATAAATCTCCGATATATTTATTGTCATCTAACCAGATGAACTCCTCTGTGAAGCATTAATAAGTATGGTTAGAAAACTGCCTTCATGAAAGTTTATAACAAGAAAAGAAAACAGGGGTTTGAAGAATGGAACAATAGAAAAATATAAACATTACCACTACCAAAGTCAGAAGATTTTGAGCCTTGTACCACTTTTCTGCATTCAAACAAGCTAAAACTAGAATAGGTCGTAAGTTTGATTATGCTTGCAAGCTCCTAAAGAAATTTACCATCAATGAGTGCATATATATAACAAGAAATTTGATACAAGACAATGAAAACGAAAAACAAAGCGATTATAACATTTCACCATCATAGCACAAGCATTGCAATGCACTGCAGAGTGCTTAGATGAACCAAAAAAAAAGAGAAAACTGCACTTACACAACAGTGCCATCATGAAGTTTTTGAGTATGGGGGAGCTGATGTGCAAGGCAAATAAAAAAGACTTTACAACTTAGAGGGCATAGAATTCATGAAGCTGTAAAAATTTAAACCTCAAGCTCAGAGATGTCAAGTTTAAAAAAAAATCAATATGTTAAGCTGTCTCAAGCATTATATTAGTCATAGCCCATCCAGCAGGACTCGCACTCTGCTTAG